AATAAATAAATAAATAAATAAATAAATAAATAAATAAAAAAGATGACAAAGGATGAACTGAAGCTCCGCCATCACGTGATGTCACATGCTGCTGTTTCTGATGTCACTTAGAAAAGAAAAAGAAAAAAAAAAAGATGATACACACTTGAAGATTTATTGATTGAATCTTGTCATTTTTGTTTGTGAACATTTTTCTCCTGTTTTGTGGCCAGCCAGGGAGCTTAAGCATTGTATTTTTTGGTTTGACCTAGAAGAAACACTTCATTGGTACACTTCCTGTCATTGGAAGTTAAACCATCTTCCACCATCACTGTACTTGTTGAAGTGAAGAACAAATGATTAATTTATATACTGACATTATTTTTGGACACTTGTGTCGACCATAAAGTCAGAGTCATGATAACAGCCAGAGTTTCTAATTAGACCAACTCTGTCACACAGATTGGTTCTGTGTGATCTCCACTGTACCAACTATGATTCTTCCTCTTCCTCAGACACCTCCAGATGCTTCGTTTTAAAATAAAAATAAATTTAAACTTTTGCCTCTGCTTCATTTTGGTCCTGCTCTCACTTTAACACGTCCAGCCTTCACCTCTCACCGGTCCTCGTCCACTCTTTTCACAGCTTCCTATGTGGCCTCCCAAATCAAACACAGGCCCAAATCAGCCGTTTCTTCTTCTCTGTTCATTCTCTCTTGATCTTTTCAGTCTTTTCTTGGCGCTTAACTCCCAGCATGGCAAATATGAAATGAGACCGAAATTTTAAGCCAAAGCCTGGCCGGTTTTCATCCCAATTATGTTAATCTATCATTTTGCTGCTGTATTCTTCCACGACTTTGAGCCAAGTCCATGGGCACCTGTATTAACACACTAAGACATTTATTTAATATTATTTTCATTAATATTTCTTAACACTTTCATTCTCTAATTCCTCTGTTTTCATTTTGAAACGTCTCCATTTCAGCCGTTGCTCGCTCAACCGTTCCTCTCCTCCACACTGCCTGCAGACTTCCTGCTTGGCTTTCTGCCAGACACACACACAGCGGTGGTTTTCACTTCACTGGATTTTCATTAGTTTCCACAGCCTAATCAATTTCTTATTTTATGTTCACACTCTATATACCCTCTGTGTGTGCGTGCTGAGGGTGCATTCTTTTTAAATTAAAAGTAGGAGAGTTAAACACACACACACACACACACATCAAAATCTCCAGCGTGGTTAGCAGAACTCTTTTGGCACAAATCTTCAGCACAATTGACAGTTTTTCCACACACATTCACAATTCTTTCAGTGACATTTTAGCACAATTCGCACCGTACTTTCATCAGCATTTTTGCACACTTCACTCAACTTCCTTAAACAAAAAAACTTTCTCACACAGACACACGCGTCACACCCTTTTCTATCACACTCTCAAAACAATATGCACTTTTGACCATTTATCCAAACAACAATTTTACACTTCATTTATACATTCACACATTTATAAAGACACCAAATGCCAAGATACTGTCATGAAACGCTGTGCAGCAGGCAGGAGTTGGACCCAAAATGCAGGCACTCAGGCACGAGGTTTAAATACAAAGAACTCAGCTTTATTCGCTGGCAGGAGAAAGTCATACAAAGCAAACTAAACTAGAAACTCACAAACTAGAGACACAGGGAGATCCACACAGCATGAGGGACAATGCGACACTGACTCAGAGAAATACAGGGTTTAAATACAATGGGAAGTAACGAGGGGAATGAGACACAGAAGGAGAGCACAGCTGGGAGAAATCAGAACTGACGAGACAAGGGAGCAAAGTAGGATACACTCACATGAGACACAGACCTTCAAAGTAAAACAGGAATTAGCACAGATGCAAACTAGACTAGGGGAGACAGAGCAACTAAGAAACACAGAGGGCAGCTACTAAATACTCAGAGAACTAAACACAATACAAGAACACCAAACTAAGACACTACACTAAAGAACAAGCTAGGACAACAACGAGAACTAAGAACATAATACAGAAAACTCAGAGGCACAAGAAACTCAAAACACTGGGTCACTGACCCAGGACCGTGACAGATACATTATCTCCATTACTCAGTATTCAACATTTCCATATGACAACTTTACATCTACCTCTGGTACCAGTCATTCCTACCGAATTTTGACTACTTTAAAAGCCTCTAAGGCCCAGGTCCGCCCACCTTGCTGGTCAATCGACCCGTTATCTGTCCGGGACAAAGGGGCCAGATTTCTAAGTCCTATGTTAATTTAAAAGCGGTCCCTGCAGCTTGACTGGAAGCCCCACTTAACCAGCGTCTCAGTATTTCTACTGGCGCCTGAAGCTTTACTTAAAGCTTTACCGGTCAACTGCGTTGAAATGGTCCCGCCCAAGCCCCGCTTTGTCGTTCAATCGGTGCAACAAAAGTGGTACTTGACCACTGATTATTAACGACCGACCCCAGTGGTCGCGGGAATCACCCGGGATCTCCTATCGCCACAGGTCTCTACCGTGCGTCCGCCGTAGAATGGAGAACCAATTCGGAACCTTTTGCACCCCTGGAGTCCAACTCCAGTCCTAGATTAATTTAAATAAGTTTAGAAGCACCACTGTGGACTCTAACCGCCAGTTTAATTATCTGATGCTTGGGTCCAACCCCATAATCAATTGGGAATTATATCCCTTAACCGAATACCCTAATCTAATCTCTTTCCTTGACTGATATAACACACTTGACACACACATACCACATCAACTTTAAACACACGTCACATCAACTTTAAAATTCACCCCAGCCTTAAACTATTCCCCAGACTACTTTACTTTTTATTTGTCACAAATTACCCAAAATCACCATTTACATGTCACCAGAAATCTACTGAACAGATTTTATAATTTAGTTTAATTTCACCACTACTGAGCCAATTTACCAGTGGAGATCATCAACTCGGCGAACAGATAATTTAGAATTCACCCAATATGCACAATTTGCTTTTTCTTTGAACAGGTTTGTGATACCTTTAAATTTTTTTCAGTCTCCTGTCCGCCCCATTTCAGATCGCACCTAAACCGAATCTGTCCTTTCAGCCACAAAAGAATCCGGGTCACTGGCACCAATTATTAAATTTAGGTTCTTTTGTATTCTTTTGACGGCAGAGAAAAGACTGGACTTAGCTCAAAAAATGATCTTTATTTTACATTTCCGGAAACAGAGAACTGCAGACACGAGCAAGCATTCACAGTTCTGGAAGCAATACAGGCTAACATACGTATATATAGTTTTGCCATACGTCACACACAGTTTTCGATAAAAACAACTCCTTCTGTGTTACTACTTCCGTTTTTTCTGTCTTTTTCCAGCCAGGTGTTTTCCTTTTCCCATTCCTCCCAGTACTTTTGCAGACTTTTTTTTTTTTTTTCTTCTTTCTCGGAGGGTTACAAACATTGCTGGTCTAACGTGTACTGTCGTCCGAGACACTACACCTTTTCAAACAAAGCGTTAATTCCATTAACATTTATAGACTACTTTTGATTCTCACTGTATTACGGGACAAAGTGCGTCCCTTTTCAGCTCAATACGGGAAGTGTACTTTTGTTTCTAAATATGGGACAATTCCATTTTTCAAGGGACAGTTGGCAACCCTACTTTTCACTTTCATTTCTGTGTTTGTGCGTGCGCAGGGTCAGGGGCTACGTTGACACCCTCACAACGGGCGACAGGATTTCAAACAGGTTTGATTTTCTTGCGACCATATGATCGATAATTGGGAGCTGGTCGTGAGGTGTTAATTGCTTTTCGTTACCCCATGTATACTACACCAGCGGTCCCCAACCCCCGGGCCCCGGTACCGGTCCGTGAGTCGTTTGGTACCGGGCCGCGAGAGTTGAGGCTCAGGTGTGAAATGTATGGTTTTCAGGGTTTCTATCGGTTTTCAGTGTTATTTTGTTATCGTTTTTATCGTTAACTCTGTTTTCCTGGGTCTTTTCACATGTGTTATGAATAAATCTTTTTTTCGGTACCGGTACTAGTTTTATTTTGTTGTATTTATCCACGACACCTTAAAGGCCGGTCCGTGAAAATATTGTCGGGCATAAACCAGTCCGTGGCGCAAAAAAGGTTGGGGACCGCTGTACTACACGATGCACCACAGACGATTAAGGCTAAACTCGGGCCCATCCCCAAAACGGTCAAGTGACTGAAAAATTGACTCAAAATGGGCCAAAAATCGCACAGTGAATTCTCAGCTTTAGGAGGCTAGTTTTATCTAACTCCCTCCCCTGTGGTTGGAAGGGGCATGTTTCATCTTTTTGCAGCCACACAGACTGAGGTGTTTGCCTTCTCATGACAGCCATGGAGAGATTAGAGGCTACATCACAGCTCCAGTCACAGCTTTCATCACTGTCTTTCTCATCTTTCCCCAGAATAAAAGACAAACGGTGCGAGGAGGATCTATTGACTAGCGCTGCTTAGCCTTGCACACGTTCTTATTTTGAACTTAATCTGGAATTCATTGCAAATTGTTTGTGCGGGTTATGAAGGACAAGATTTTGTTTTTCAACAACAGTTAGGAAAAAACATCTCCAGTGTGATCAAATTTTCCTGCCAAATATCCTCAGCTTGGCAGTCTCTACAGCACTATAATGCCTAGACCCAATCCTTTTGAAAACCATACATCTTTTCACACGTCTCAAATTCATCAGACATCACCTAGACACAGAGCTGGATGAGGCCAGTGCAAACAGCAGCCTAACCGACAAAGATAATGGATCCATTGGGTCTAGAAAGCCAGAAGCAGGGGAGCTGGAGAGGTACCTTTCATGTCCATTCACTGGAGGTGTGGACGTATTGCATGGCTTTCCCCACATCAAGAAGCTGTCGATGAAAAGCTCTTCCTGCATCTGGAGCTTGTGAAAGACTGCAAGACTCCTTTTCACTGCTGAACAGTTACAGCTTCACAGCAAAAACCTTGAGAACAAGCTGCTGCTGAAGATTAACCATCACTTCGCTGAGTGAAGAAATGGTACTATCACTCCCTCCAGTTAATACACGACACCACGGTTCTTCATTCACTGATGGATTTATTCTTCCGTCACACTTCTCCTCAGAAACACCATAAAATCCACCGTCAAACTGTTATTACATAAAAGTACAGAATGACCAAACATAAATATTACAAATAAACATTTAAACCCAAGTTAACAAATACGCGATAAACAAACACAGTTAACATACCTCGCTGGCTGCACGTAACCGTGAGGGAATGAGTCTGCTTCAGGAACAAAAACTTAACAAAAATAATTCCCAATTTCTTCTTCTTTGTAGCTTTCTTTTACTTTAAACTGCTTATTTATTCCTTCTTCTGACTTAGTTAACTTATTAACTTAGCTTCTTTGCACATGCATTTTACTTCCCTTTACGTCACCTAAAAAAGCCTGTGCGCAACACAGAATGAACCTTAGTTCCTACCTCAAAAGGAACAACAATAAATAAAGAAAATAAATAACATAAATGAACACAATAAATTAAACAAACTGACATAATTTACATTTATGGCAGTTAAACTCCCACCAAATCTCAACTTGAGATTTCTTCACAGATTTGCATCTTCAAGTTATAAGCATTTACAACAGTTTAACACATGCTTATTCTGCTTCAACAAGTAGTACTATTTTTTGCACTGGCCTTTCAAGATAAACTGGCCTGGTTGTGCGTTTTCCCTGTTTGTCCAAGGTTGAGTCACTAACCAACAGCTTTACCTTTCTGACCCTTCCATCAGAGCTGGGGTACACCTCCGTGACTCTTGCTAGTCTCCAGTGATTTCGCGGAGCAGTGTCCTCTTGAAGAATAACAATGTCATTGACATTGGTGTTCCTTTTATCCCCATGCCATATCTGTCTTTGCTGGAGATTAAGAAGGTACTCCCTCCTCCACCTTGTCCAAAACTCATTCGCCAAGAACTGCACCTGACGCCATCTCTTACGCAGGTATAAATCTTGACTCACGAACTGACCCGGAGGTGGCAATATGATGTTAGACTTCATCAGAAGAATGTGATTTGGTGTGAGCGGTTCAAGACTTGTGGGATCATTCAGGTGCTCTGTTGTCAGCGGTCTGCTATTTATAATAGCCATCACTTCATACAAAAAAGTCCTAAGTGAGGCGGTGTCAAGTCTTTTAGCAGACTGATCAAGAATTGCTGTTAGAACACTTCTGATTGTCCTTATTTGCCTCTCCCAAATTCCTCCCATATGGCTTGATGATGGGGGATTCATTACAAACTCACAGCCATATTCCTTCACCTGCTCATGATCCCAGTTCTTCATTGAATCCATGAACTCTTTTTGCACCCACAAAGTTGGTACCTTGATCACATCTCAACTGCCTTACATTCCCGCGTATTGCAATGAATACGCGCAATGCATTGATGAATGCATCTGAACTGAGGTCATCAAGCATTTCGATATGTACAGCTCTGCAACACATACAAGTGAAGAGAAGACCATACTTCTTCAGTTCCTTTCTTGCATCCCTCACATAGAATGGTCCAAAGCAATCCATGCCACAATATGTGAATGGAGGGGTCATTTCCATTCTGTCCTCTGGCAAATCTGCCATTTTTGGATCTTGTGTGTTCCTTCTATACTTTCTGCATGTGACGCACTTAAAGATATGTGAGGCAACTGCACTGCTGCATCCAATGACCCATATCCCATTAGATCGCAACTCATTTACAGTCATACCTCTTCCTTGATGTTGTACTTTCTCATGATAATGCTTGATCAATAAAGAAGACACGTGACTTGTTTTTGGCAGAATCGCAGGATGTTTAACATGTGTATGAAGATCACTTCTTGTTAAGCGTCCGCCTACTCTCAGCACACCCTGCTCATCCAAAAATGGACTTAATTTACATAGCTTGTTTGCTTTGTCTTTGGATTTTACGTCCTTGGATTGCTGTAAATTCTTGATTTCACTGCTGAATACTTCTGTTTGGACCAATCTGATTAGGAAAAGTTCAGCTTGTTGTCTTTCCTCAACACTTGTACTTCCATTGAGTTTGGGACTAAGACCCTTAACTTGCTTAGCATGACGTTTAAGACAAGCAATAGCCTTAACAACTCTTTTCCAATCAGAAAACTTAGTCAGGCGGTCCAACAATGTTCTATTTATCCTTGCGCTGGTGTTGAGCACCTGAGCCCTTCGAAGTTCTGGATCATTATCACTAACCTCTCCCACCTTAGCATCTCTTGTGGGTAGCTCCCTTTCCCACAGAAAGTCTGGGCCAGTGAACCAATTTGAAGCAACGAGCCGATCTGCCGATAACCCTCTCGAAGCATGATCCGCCGGATTGTCTTCGGACTGCACATGATACCATTGGTTGACATCTGTGGTGGCTTTGATTCTCTGGATCCTATTTGCCACGAAAACATGAAAGCGTCTGGCATCATTATTAATGTACCCGAGAACAACCTTTGAATCAGTCCAATAATATTCCTTAAGGTTGTCTATTTCGAGCTCATGTTTTAAGATGGCACCCATCTTTGCAGCAACCACTGCTGCAGACAACTCAAGCCTTGGAACTGTTGTGACCTTAGTGGGGGCAACATGCGCTTTCCCCATGACAAGTGAGCAGTGTACGCTGCCATTAGAGTTCACTGCTCTTAGATAAGTGCACTCCCCATAACCTGTGAAGCTAGCATCTGAGAAGTGATGTAACTCGTACTGCTTGACATCTATGAAGCTTGCTGGTATGTAGCACCTCTTTATCTTTACTTGACGCAAGTTATGGAGATCTTGTAACCATGACTGCCACTGTGATCTGCACTCCTCTGAAAGTGGTTCATCCCAACTAGCTTTCTCTCGACTCAACTGTTGCAAGATCAACTTCCCACGTAAAACAAACGGTGCTACGAAACCCAAAGGATCGTAGATGGAAGCTACTGTGGATAGCACTCCCCTTCTCGTCATTGGGTGTTTCTTGACAGTTACTCTGAACTGAAAGTCATCAGAGGATACGCACCATTGCACGCCCAGTGCTCTTTCTAGGAGTGGCTCCCCTAAATCTATGTCCAGTTCTTTGACACTGTCTGCACACTCTTCCTTTGGTATTGACTCCAATACCTTCTTGCTGTTGGAAATGAACTTGTGTAGTCTAAGCTTGCCTGTGCTGCAAAGCTCTCTTGCTTCCTTGATCAGCTTGATTGCCTCAGCATCAGACCTTACACTCACCAGTCCATCATCAACATAAAAATTTCTTCGGATGAACTTGACAGTGCTTTGGTTAAATCGATCTTGACCTTCTGTGGCTAGATGTTTAAGTCCAAAATTGGCACAGCCAGGTGAGGAAGCTGCTCCAAACAAATGGACTTTCATCCGAAAAACTGATGGCGGAGACTCAAGATCACCATTCTCCCACCATAAGAACCTCAAGTAGTCTTGGTCTTCAGGCTTTACATGGAATTGATGAAACATTCGTTCCACATCACACATAATAGCGACTGGGCCCTTTCGAAATCTACAAAGAACTCCCACCAAGGTGTTTGTGAGCTCTGGCCCTGTAAGAAGGTAGTCATTCAATGACATGTCTTGAAATCTTGCCGAACAATCAAAGACCACTCGCAGTTTCTCTGGCTTTTGAGGGTGGTATACGCCATGGTGGGGAATATACCAAGCTGATCGTTTATCAAGCTCTTTTTCTGGGACCTTTTCTGCTTCACCACGACTGATGTCTTCCATGAAGTTCATGTAATCTGTCCGATATTTCTGGTCTCTCTTGAGCTTCTTTTCCAAGCACATGAGGCGTTGAACAGCACTTGGCTTGTTATTTGGTAGCTCTGGCCTGCGCTGTTTAAAAGGCAGAGGCATTTCAAGATGTCCGTCTTCTTTGTGCTTAATTTCTTCTTTCATTTTAGTCAAAAACCGGAGATCTTCTTGCGAGAGATTTGTCTCTTCTCCAAGCCTTTCACTGAAGTCAGATTCCAGCACCTTAAGTATGTCTTCTGGAGCAGTCATCTCCTTAATTCTTGTTTTGCAAACATAATGAACTTCGCTCTTCAACTTACTTGTTACTTTGGGTTCAGGGGTCACTTGCTTTACAATGATGTGGTGACTTACTCCTATTGCATCACTGTAGTGTTCGCCTGGATCACCCTAGCTCACTATGCTCCAGCCTACGTCAGTTTTCTGTGCGAAGGGCTGGTTGTCCTCACCACATACAACTTCTCTAGGCATTAGTGCTTGTGGACAGTTATACCCGATAAGAAGACCGATTTCACATTTCTTCGGCGGGGCAATGTGTTCCGCAAGATGTTCTAAATGAGGCCACGCCTTTGCAGTCTCTGGTGTTGGAATGTGTGTTCGATTGGCAGGTATGAATTCGCGCGTGTAGACCGTTGGCACTGTGATCTTCTTAGAAGAAGATAACCCTCTTATTTGTAGACCTTTGAGTCTTTTGCATGGTACAATTGTCTCCTTGGAAGACATTGTAGACAGCTTCAACTTGACTGGCTCTGCATTAACATCAAGAGCATCTGCCACTTCTTCAAGAATGAATGAAGAATCACTTTGTGAATCTAACAGAGCATAGACAAGGACTTCTTTGTTTGAATCACTTGGCATTGATGCATAAACAGGAACTATTGCTGAAGTCTGAGCACTGTTA